TCTTCATCTTCGACGGCCTGGTGCTGAGATCTTGGTTAAGGGTTTAATTCTGGTTTTGAGTTAAGGGCCTTTTTTCCATACTAAAGGTTTGGATTTGTTAATTTTGGGTTTTGGGTTTTCGGATATTCGTATAATTAGTATAATTCGTATTTTCGGATTCTGATGGTATTCTGTATGGTTTTGAATTAATAACTTGTAGAGGCGGGTTTTCTCTTAGTGCTACTTATTTGGATTTTTACCTTAGGGTGTTAGGTATTGCATTGCTTGGGTTCGTGTTGGATATCATCCATGTAAGGCGCAGGATTCGGTGCTTCAGGCCAGTCTTCTGAACCCACTACTTTACAACAGGTTTTGGGTTCAGGGTTAATTTTTAAATACTACTAGTCTGGATTTTTGAGTTAAGGGTTTGGGTTTCGGGTACTATGATAATTAGCGTTATCATCCATGTAACATAGCCCTGAGTAACACTAACCCTGAACACACCCCTGCGAATAACTGTTGACTCCGAAACCCTACCCCGGACCCTCCTAGCTACGCTTGGTCCATTGGTCATAGCCCTGAAGTCCTACTCCTAAACCTTGACCCCGAATCTGGAACTCCTAATGCTTGAGCCCGATACCTTAACCCCACAACGTGGAACGTGTATCCACATAAACCCCACGTTTACCGACCTAAACTAAACATATATACCAACCCCAGCCCTTCACTCCACCCCGAGCCCATCGAGCACCTCCTCAGGCTGGACCTTCCAGCCCTCTTCTTCGTGCCACGGGAGGTCCGCGGTTCCGGTTTCGCCGTACCACGTAGTCTCCGACCACTTTCGCTTGTTCCTCTTGTTCTTCGTCTTCTTGCTCTTGCTCTTGGTCTTCTTTGCGCTTGGCTTCTTCTTGGGCTCTTCGTCGGCCGGCTCCTCCTCGGCGTTGGCCGTCTCCTTCTCCTCGTCGTCGGCCGTCTCGATCTCCTTCGCTGCGTTCTTCTTCGCCTTTTTCTTTGCGCGCGCAGTCTTCTTGGAGTTCTTGGACTTGGCTTTTGCCGTGCCTTTGGGTTTGCCTTTGGCTTTGGCTTTCGACTTGGTCTTCGGCTTGGGTTTCTTGGCCGCTTCGGTGTCAGTCGCTGCTGTGTCGGGGGTCTCGGCACCGTTCGTCCCATCCGTGATCGTGTCATCCTTCGGGGAGGGCTCGGGCTCATCCTGGGTGTTCGTCTTCGGAACATCCATAATGTCCGTCTTCTCGCCTTGGAGTTGTTTCTATATTTACGCATTAAATTACGAATAGTTTCTCACATAATATAAGCACTGACTGCTTTGGCCCTGGCTTTCTGACGCAGATACCTCGATGCGTCGATCTTCGGAATCGGTCATTGCGTGATCTGGGGCGGTTTGCTAGCTCGTCTTCAAACCCACAGCTTTGAGATGGAAACACCAGACCACTGGATGGCGTGACACATACATGTTGATTGAGCGAACAGACAATGAATCGGACGCATGTCGTTATCAGTGAGCACGCACAGAATCAATGTCACTGGCCGGTCGCACCTATTGTTTTTTTGCGCATAGCAGATCGATGCGGCAGTCAGCACGGTGTCGTAGTGCAACAAAAGGGGAACATCAGCACGATATCGTAGTGCAACACAAGGAATCGGGCAGCATGCAGCTTGCCATCGTTTTCGACCCGCTTGGTCCTAAAGCCTACTTATCCTAACAAATTAGTACTCTAATAGTGATCTTGTATTTCGTTGTACGATAGCAGCGCAGCGCAGACGGGGCTGCGAAAACAGTGTACGGTTGGAGGCACCATCAGTGCAGGTATCCTTTTGTGTCATGTTAAAGACTTCATTGTCACATGCCATTCAACAGACAAGACAAATTAGTTAAATCGTTGTCAGTGTTATCGCTGCCGTTGTCTGCACGGTGCCTCCTTTGAAATGAATTGCCTTTACTGGCGCAGGATTGATGCTCACTCTAGTGCATAGACTTTCGTGGCATCCATCGTCAAAGCCCCCAGGAGCCAAAGCTTGGGCTTGTACGCTTTCAGCATTGCTGGTGGGTTCAAGGATTTCTGAACCTCCCAAACTATCGCACCCCCAGATGTTGGAAGGGCTTTCGGCTCATCCCGGAACACGGCTCCAAAGACCCCACGTTTCATCACCGGCTGCGCGAGTGTGCTGTCGTCGAGCCGATCTCCAATGAATGCACGGGCCTGTTTCTTGAGCTCAAGCGTCAGGCGGCAGTGGAGCTCGACCTCCCGGCCCTGGAAGGCACGCATCTCAGGTTTTCGGGAAGCTTCGATTCGCGTTCGGTTCGCGATAGTAGTTATTTAGAATTCGAGGGTGTGCAATGCCCTGGCAATTTCAATTTCAAACAGGGCTCCGGAAATTTACGGTTTGGTTGCAATTGACAAAGGGCTTGGGTTTTAGTAAGATGTGTAGCATTTAGTTTGCGAAAGTTTTCGGCTCGACGGTTGGTTCATGGACGAGGGGTTTCATTAGATGAGGGGGTAAGGTTCAGGGTTTCAGGTAGGTAGGTCGGTAGGTAGGTAGGTAGGTAGGTAGATAGGTAGGTTCAGACAGGTTGGATATGCAAGTTTGGTATTTTCGGGCTTGACTGCATTTTTGAGGGCAAAGTGCAGGAATCACAGCTTTATTGTGTCACGGGTTTACAGTTAGTAGTAGCGAGGTTTACGGTTATGGTTCATGCTTTCAGGATGTTGTCTTGGCCGGTTATTCTTGGCAGTAGTAGTAGCAACAGTTTCAACGGTTGGGGCCTCGACTGCCGCTAACACATAGATCCCCAACCATTATAGTATGAGTCCGGCGTTACTACGAATCTCGCACAATCTATACTATGAGTAACATAGTCGTACAAGACATACAGTGCAGTAGACACGTGACGAAAACACCTGGCAATGATGAACCAATTTCCTAAGCAATGACCTGCCGCCTGCTTGGTGATCTTCGTCGGGGAGCATTGGTGGTGCTCCACACTCAGATCGACGACTCCGGCCTGCAGCGCCTGACAGAGTAGACTAGTTATTAACATAGAAGTAGCTATGACGAATTGCAGATGTAGTCCATACTCAAAACCGGCACCCTAAGCTTTTAATATAGCGAACTCCACATCAAGTTGTACGGGGCCTCGTAGACAAGATCACAGACTCGTTGGATTTGCTTTTTGCCATCCTCCACTGCCACGACGTAGTCGTAGTCATTCTCGATGTGGAAGAGGGTCGCTCCAACGCGCTGGGTTCCTTCCATGACTCCGCTACCCCTTCGATATCACGTAAACTCTAAGGGTTAAAGTGTTTATACAGATTCAGTGGGATGAATCGTCCGGCCTTTGAAAAGGTCGGTGTTGTCGACTATGAGGCTTCCAGACCCAAACCCACACAGCTCGCAAGCTGGGCATTTCCAGCTCGGGCCGTGCAGTGCTTCCTCCGAGAACAACAGGATGGTCATGTCTTTTAAGAGCATAATCCCCGGCAGGGTCTTTGCTGGCTTCACCGTGTACAGCCTCAGACGCACTGACATTCACAGACCCTACAAACTTCCTGATCGAAAGTTCAGGGTTTGAAGGGGTCAGGGTCTAGGGTTTAGGGTTTGTAGACATTCAGGCGATTGCAGAAGCCCTGATGCAAAAAAAGGTTTGCAGGGTAAGGACACCTAGCCCTGGAGACAAGAAGCACTTTCGACATGTCCACGTCTTCGCGGTCGAACGCCTCCAAGATCTCATTCAAGTCCCTTGTCAAATCGATCCCATCGTGCCCTTCCGATGGATGGGCTTCCGGCCCTCTGAACTTGACCCCAACACGCCCGTTCTGAGCGGAGGCGGCTGCCACGGATATGAGCGAGTCCAGATTGTCGAGGCTATCCTGGTGCGGTGATTTCAGCTTTGGGGGACATCGGTCACGAGTAGAAGACATCCTACTACATACTTGGCTACCGGGCCGGAATGTTTTTTTTGAAGCAGGCACATCAGGGAACATGTTCGCAAATATCCTTTCGCCAGCATCATAAAGACCCGGGCAAAATGCAAAGCGCTTCTGGGGTAAAGGCAGGTCTAGTTTGCGGATTGGCTTGGATTGCTAATGTCGAAGGTTTCAGATCTTGGGCCGTTGTTCAAATTTCATAGGCTGTTCGGGGCAGTCTCATGTGGTCTTGCGACCACAACAGCAGCAGAACCTAACCAGAGAACCACATGCAGGCTCCGCCTGGCATGGTGATGCACGGCCTACGATGTTCTTTCACGGCTGGGCTCGGGTCTCGGCTAGGCCAGGCTAGACTTGTCGTCTAGGGTTTCAAAAACTTTGAAGGGTAAACTACAATAGCAACGCTTGGTTCCTGGCTTGGTTTGGATAACCCTAAGCCGGGTTTAGGAGTTTAGGGGTTTAGGGCTTAGTGGTTTGTGGTCTGAGAGTTTAGGGTTTAGTCTAGGAGTTCAGGGTTTAGGGGTTTAGTATTTAGGGTTCAGGTTTAGGATTTTAACGTTTAGGGTTTACGGTTCAGGGTTTGGGAGTTTTAGAAATTAGAGGTTTAGGAGTTTAGGGATCAGGGTTCAGGGTTCAGGAGTTTAGGGGTTGGGGTTCAGGGTTGAGGAGTTTCGGCGCTCGTGGTGGGCAACTTGCAAGTTAACTGATGCGCTTCATGGTGGTAAGGGGGAGGTTGAAGGGCTTAAAACTTGTGTCACACACTAAGCACATTAAGCTGCAGGGGCTGTATGATTGCAAACCTTATAATAAGCTTAGATGCAGTGCTGTCCTGAACTGTCTTGCACAAGACCGTCCACTCGCTGCGCACGTCATCCTCCGCATCTCTGAACCTCTCTTTCACCATGTCGGGAACGACTGCCTTCATGCCGTCCCACGTCAGGACCTGTAAGGTTGGCCGGTGTACGGTCGTTGCATCTGTTCGCCTGGGTTCGGCGTCCCCTGCCTCCTGACAGGTTTCCCACCAGGTCCTCATCAAAAGGCCTTTGACATACGAAGTCATGCCTGCAGCCTTGGATTTTTCGGAGTCGTTGCCGGGCCAGTAGAAGTTGATGCCGACGAACAAAGGCATGTCGGCTCCTTTCTCCCAGGCTTGGTTCAGGGCCCACACCGCATCGATGACATCGCCATACCCGGGTGTTGGGTCGACGACAATCACCTGCACTCGCAACATCTAGATATGACAAGAACAGTCTGCAGCTAGCAGCTAGATAGGACTATAGGGGGCCCAACTTCGTAAGCAGTAGCCTGGTTCGGGGGCGGGGCGGCGGTTGCCAAAAACCAGATACATGTAGGTGGTTTTAGTCAGTTAGATTTAGTTGATTCTTCGCGGTGAGTTTCTGCGGATTTCTAGCGGGTGGGTTTTGGGCCTAAATTTCGGGATCTAGGTTTTGGGTCTTGGGCTCTCCCCCAACAAGCAGAACCTTTACAACCACATAATATTTAACGTAGGCTACCAAAGCAAAGACTGGACCACATATGTTGTATAAAATATGGACCACTTCCGATCGAAGCATCCGAATTTAAGGCAATAGTACTTCAAGGCTGTTCCGGGGTTAAGAAGCCAGGGCTCTAGGTCGTTGCAGTTTGGGTGTTGCACATGATGCACGAGGTTCTTCTGTTTCCCATGGCCTTGTGTCGAGTCGGATCGTCCTTGTTGGACCACTTTCGCCCCAAGCATAGCTGGCTGATGATGTGCTTCCAGCCTTTGGGGCCCATTTGGGCCACGCGGTCTCCGACCCCAATGACGTCGCACTGCTCTTGCGCATCCGCGTGAGGCACAAGCCTCATATCCTTGTAAGAGACGAGCGGCACCTTTTCCACCGTCCAATGGTTCTTGCCTTTCGTATGCTCAGTTTCAATTTTTCGGTTTAAACTTTTATTAAACATTGTGGATAAAGTTTATTACGCAGGAACCACGGTCCGTAATAAAACTTGCATTTGAAAAGGACAAAGTTACTCACCAGGTGTGTCAGCCACGGCGATCCTTCAAAGTTCTCCGACAGACACAGACGAAACCTCGCAACTCCTTCTCGTGAGTCACCCCCGTGCAGCGTCGTGACATCGAAGACCGCTGTCATGTGATACTCTGGGTTTAAGGAGTTTGCTAGCAAAGCGTCTTCGATTTTCCTTGTCAAGTTGAGGTGCGCTGTCATCGTGGTTGCTTTGGTCTTTGTTGGCAATCTGATCAAAAGACAGTTTTGGCACGACTGGTGGCAAATGTCACTGGCAGCCTTGATCATCTCTTGAACACTGGGGAGCGGAAGGGTTTTGAAAGCGAGGTCGATGATGCAGATCGTCTCCCTTGATTGAAACTTGTGGTCGCTCGAAGAAATGTTCTGCAATTAAATAGGCTCTCGTTGCGAAACTCAAACATGTAATAGCTTTCGAAACATGTGCAGGGCACGTGTCGGCATCGACGATGTCCTTGATGTCCATGTCCTTGGCCGCACCATTCTTGAAGAGGCCATAGTGCCGGGGGATGGACTTGAACCCACCATTCGGGCCCACCTCTAAAATCTGCACGCTCAGGCGTGTGTTCATGATGTCCTCGACTCTTGCCAAGCCCTTGTTCCGACGATTCCTTTTGTATGATTGCACCATATCACCCCACAGCTCTTTCGCTTCGGCAAGACCTTTGTCATACACCTTCAAGGCCTCGACGTCCTGCGTCATTTGCTCCGTGAGGCTCTCAATCGAGGCCTTGTCGACCTGCACCTGAAGCTCTTTCTTCTTTCTGAGCTCCTCGCTCCTGAGCTGGTTCGCCGCACGTTGCGTCAAGTGTCGGAACTCCGCGAGGGCGGCGCAGTCGAGAGGGACAGGGAGTTTCTCTGCTTGTTCCTGGCACGGAGTGACTTGTAGTCGGATCGGGCAAACAACTAACCTAAGTTAGAGTCATTGTTACTGGGGGGCTAAACCAGTCTCCAGGTAGTTCCTGACGGTGTGCGGCACCAGCTTTAGCTTCACAGGTCAGTCATAGTCCTGAAAACATGTTGCCGCGTCTAAAGACAATAATTCAGAAGAGCTATCTCTGAGTTCTAGGCCCCGCCCCAATCCAGATCCCATGTTACTATTATATAATCCGTTCCTCAGAATCCCCACTGACTGTGTTTAGTCTGAGGATGGCTGAGCTACGAGCAGCTCATCGTCGAAGCTGCCGGCCATGAAGGACTCCACCAGGTTGGGGCGCTCGGCCCTGAAGACCTGTTCGGGGTTTCGGGGCTTGTAGGCCTTTGGGTTCTAGGGTTTGGGGTTTCGGGCTTAGGGTGTAGGGTTTAGGGTCAGTGAGGGTTGGGGCTTAGAGTTTGGGTCATCGCCGGGGGCCGGGGGTTGCTGAAGTTATGCAGGATTTTCTGGAGGCATTGATTGGGCATCATTATGGAAGTAGCTTCGAGTTGACGGGATTTAGGGTTAAGAGTCGAAGTGCATTGCACTGCATGTTCAGTAAACTAAGTGACAGCTCGCCTCTTCCGAAAGCTTTGTCTCCAAGAGCTCCAAGAACAACTGGAACATTCGACAGATCTTCTGCAGCTGCTGAATCCTGTCATCGCCAGCAGACGCTCGCATTCCAACGGCCGTGTTGATATAGTCCTTGTGCACCCGGGAGAGCATGAGTTCCACAGTCCCCTCAGCGTTGCCCAGCTTGTCTTGGTAGAAGTCGATGCCCGACTCACGGTGAAAGTTGTTTCGCAGTGCTCTCGAAGCGATGCCCGAGTGCGTGATCGGGCCTCTCACCATGCCAAAAGTTGACGACATTTTGGTCAGCATCTCTCGGCTCGCTGGGGAGATATGTAGCAGCAAGTTCTCCACCGCATCGGACTCTCCTCTTGACAAGTTGAATTGCGTAGCAGCTTCTTTGAATGTGGCCAGCTGCTGTCTCGGGTCATAATCGTAGAGTTGGACCCGCTTGTCGATCTGGTGCACATACGTAAAGCAATTCGGCTTCGATCTGCTCATCACCGACACCAGGGTGACATCTTAGTGCGGAGACAACAGCAATTAAAGTTGAAGCTGATGCCAACAACATCGACCCACATCCTAGACAATGTCATATGGTCCGTATACCCTATACTTGTGATTTAGATCGGGCCAGGCGGGCGATCTGATGAGAGCGAGTCGGCGCTAACAAGGCTCACCGGACGGGAGGCTAGCAGCTAATACGATGTTAATATGTTATAGGAGTCGTGTCGGGGTCTTGGGATTAAGTAGGGCTCAGGGTCTAGGGTTATAAACAGTTATAGACGGACTTTGGGTTTGCAGGTTTCTTCGGGTTGTTCATATAATAGAGCTGGAGGCTAAGCGTCTAGGGTTTGGTGTTTTCGGAATTTGGGGTGTAGTAGGTAGTAGAAACCTATCTGTAAGGGACCGGATTCAGTATCAGCAGGAGAACATATTTTTGGCAAGTTGCCGCGGTTGATGTCGATCTCATCCTTCCCCTCAGGGATGTTCATGTAGTTCGCCACCTGCGTCTGAAAGGCGAAAAGGCCCCCCATTGACGTGAGGAAGCCAATGTAGTCGTCCAAGATGCCGGCTTTCTCAGCGGCAGCAACTGCAAGGTACATTGCAGTCGCCCGGCTCCATCCTTTGATCTCATGGACCGAGAAGGCCGGGGCCAGGTCCTGACATAGGAGTGTGTTGCAGTCGCAAGTAAGATACAGGTCGTAGCACTTAACATGTCAGGTCCTCCTGGATAACTAGTAAGTTCGGATTTCTTGGTTTGAGTATGGTTTCCCCATTAGACCCCCTAGTATAACACATAGCGACAGAAGGCGTGTCGGTAAGTATGGGCTTCTACAACAAGCAAAAAAGATGAATTACAAGACGACTCCCAAAATTGTCATGGCTCTTCGTTCACAGTCACCGTGCTGCAGAAGTCGTCTTTGAAGGTAGCTCGAGCAGGCATGATGAGGGGAAGCTCAATGCCTGCCTGCAATGAGTCTGTGACCATTCCTTTCACCATCACAGATTTCAGCAAGTACAAGAAGTTCTCCTTGGTGACTGTGCCCTTGTTGCCACACGCTTTGGTCCATCCCCAGTGCCACGGTCTCAAGAACTTGGGCCCATGATCTCCCCACTGGGCCTGCAGATACTGCACACCGTCTTCAGGAGGGAAGAGCTGGTCAAGCTTCATCACCCATGCCTTCTGGGAATCGGGGTCGGGCCAGAGGGCCTTCATAATGCCCTCCACATCCTGGTGTTCCTCCCACCAGCTTTCGAAGACCTCGACCGCGCGTTGGAGCGGGGGGAACAGCACAAAAGCCTTTGACACATCAGGCGGAGGCTGGGGCGATGTCTCGAGGCTTCCGGAGGATTTTCTCCTGACGGGTCTCTCGTCGTTCACACGCGCACTCTGGTTGCTGACCCGTTTCTTGCCGCCCATGATGGCAGAGAGTCTTGAGGTGCTAACTGTCGCTGCACGGTCTTGAAAGCGGCAAACACACAGGAAAAAATAGTTTCGCTGTCACATTCTACACATGCTGACGGTCACAGGACGCGGAACTGAGCACTTTCAGCACCCCCAGTTGCCAGGCTGCTTCGCGACAGTGACACAGATCGAAATTATTGATAGCCTTCTACATCGGACTGGGCTTGGAATTCGTGGAGCCCATCACTTTGGAACCCAACTAACGAAGCCAGGGGTCTCCGAATCGAATCGACTGTCTCTGTGTGTAAGCACTCTGAGTAAGACTGTAAGTACTACTATGAAGGTCCACCGGGTCCGTCTCTGTGGGTTTGTGGGTTTCAGCGGGTTTTTCCTCACAGTCCTTAATCTGGTGTGTGGCATATAGGTTTAGGGCTTCGGGGCTTAAAGTTGTACGGGTTTCGGGCTTAAGGTGTAGGGCCGAGGCTTGTCTTGAGGGGGGGAAGGAGTGAGGGCGTGGCTCTAGGGTTTGGGGGTCCTCTGTTTCAAACAGGCTTGGGGGTTGAGATTTAGATTTGGGGTTCCATCTAGCTTTGGGTGTCCGCCCGTCCATTGGCCCAGGGGTAAAACTCAACACAAAATCGTTTGTTCGGAACGACGGTCATTTGTGTTGAAACCCACTGGGGTTCAACACAAAGCCTCAGGTTTTGACTGTATTGCAGGAAATCCGTGCCTTCAATTTTCGTCCAACATAGGCAAAACCAAAGGTTTTGTGTTGAACCCCAGTGGGGTTCAACACAAACGACTGCCGTTCCGAACAAGCGATCTTGTGTTGAATACATTGGCTTGGGGTGTTCCCGACCGTGGGGTTTAGGAGTAGATGCAGAGGAATTTTGTGTTGAACCCCACTGGGATTCAACACAAAATTGTTGGGGGTGTTTTGGGCGGGGTGGCCCCTAGAATCCCTAGAACTGCCGACGTCTTGTGTTGAGTCCCACTGGGATTCAACACAAAATTGTTGGGGATGTTTTGGGTGGGGTGACCCCTAGGACCGCCGAAGTTTTGTGT